TTTATGACTGGCGAGTGACAGCGCCAGCCTCCTGTAACTGACACAGACCAGACACGACCCAGCCGCGGCGTTTGTTTGTGGTGGGCGGGTGTGTGACCTCCGCCCCCCCCCCCTCCTCCCCCAGGCAGGGTCGTTCGCTGGTGATCTGAGAGCTAAGCTGCGAGCCGTACGACAGGGCGACTCTGCGCGCCCGGCCGGCGGCCGGCGGCGGCGGCGACGCTGACCGCTGCTTCAGCTCGTCTTTCAGTGAGGTCGGTCCGTGCCCGGCACCCCATACCGGCACAGGCGGCACACGACCGCTGCACACCATTGGGCCACAGCATCTGTGGCTAATTCATGTACATTCACGCTAGTGTTATTTCGGAGATGTCAAATAAAAAGTGATAACGATCAACACACGTTTGACAATGTTATCATTGCTTCACTTGCTAGTTTGAAGGGATGACTCGACAAAAAATTAGTTTAGTCTGTCCTCGTAGTATTATGGCCCCACCCCTTTCGGTAAACACTACTGTTTATTGCTCTTCACAACACCAGAATATCCCATTTCCGAAGGCTTCCGTGTTTGTTTTTCTCCAGAAATTGTAATCTGGCATGCTGCTACGTGTCAGAACCAGTAGACCGCCAACATAGCTGATGCTCAAAGCATATACTCTGGTGTCAAATGACAAGGGTGGGCCCAAAGCCACCGAGCGTTGAGAAACAACAACGTGCGTCTGGATACCGTCAAGCGTGTGATCCCACGATGTGGAGTGCACGCTGGACGCTTGGAGTACGTACGCTAGGCTGTCACGCAGGAACTCTAATTCATGGGAACTCAGGCTGATGGCCACGAATGTACCGATTGTCGGCAGTATCCTGTGATTTAACAGTTAGTGATCATGCTTCTCACTTAGAAAGTGGAGTGGGCTGCGGCATTAGAAAATAGCGTCCCAACGTACGACTACGTTGGGAGATTGAATATGCGCCTCCAAACATGGGACTATGGGGAGCGGCTTGCTCGGATAGTCAACGGGAAAATATGGCTGTTGAAAAAGGTGACACAGATAGCTGGTAAGCTTGGTTCAGTGCGAAAGCTGCAAAAGGCGTTGCATTTTAATCATTTTATTCATGAAGGAGACCTTTCTTGAACAGGAGTACTCTTATCACTACACTATACCCAGCATCATGGGGAGTACAAGAGTCCCATAGGAACGTTTAATGATTAGGTACCCGTGAATATGGCAAAGGACTCTCTGACGACCGCCAGCTAATATTCAGAGCCTTTGGAGTGCTGCTTCTGTATGCCCAGCCGGCCATGAACTCAGCAACTGCTGTATCGGCCATAAACTCAGCAGCCGCAGGGGTCGGCCCAGCCGGGCATAAACTCAGCAGTTGCTATCAGCTCAGCCGGCCATGAACTCAGCAGCAGTGCTGCTGCTGTGCGCGCAGTCGTTCATAAACTCAGGAGCCTTTGTGCGCCTAGCCGGCCATGAATTCAGCAGCCGCAGCAGTCGGCCCAACCGGCCATAAACTCAGCAGCTGGCTTGGGCTCCACCGCCGTGGGACAGACGTTCATATATTCCTTCGTAGATCTGAAAAACAGGGATATCGTTGTAAAGATATAAATTCAGCCATCTTTATCTGTGATGACTGATGACATTATCACAGACCACAGTGCCTACTATGTTGTGTGGCAAATGCTCGCGCAAACGTTTTGTTGTAAGTTCATAGCGTGCAAACTTTGGCTGATTTAAGTCGTGATGAAGTTGTTCTTAATGTTACGTATCTGGACAGAATCGGATGGCATCAACTGTAACTCCCCGTCAACTAATTGTGCTGGAATCGCTGTGGGACGACCGTCTCCCTGTGGACGGACCTCTTTGCCACCTCCGGGTCGTCGTTATTGGCGAGCTCCGGGGCCCAGCCGCCGCTGTGCGAGGCCAGAGGCGCGACACCGCCGGCTTCCTCCTGCAGTTCCTCGGCCATCGCCCTGAAACGGGGCCCAGCTAGCTGAGCACGAGCTCAAACAGGGCCACATTACTGAATACAGTGATCCCAAACTGGGCCGCATAGCCGAGCACAGCGTGCCCAAACGGGACCGAAGCTCAAATTACTGAATACAGCGAGCCCAAGCAGGGCCGCACAGCTGTTTGCTGAAAAAACCCCATACCCGAGGGCAACACATACCTGCTCAGGCTGGATTAACAATCTACATAGGAGAACACAACAAAGCCTTGCTCAAACCGTAAAAGTTTCACTCAGACTCGTGCGCCCACGTTCTGGCGCCGCTTTGATGCTCCTGTGGATGCTCGCGGTCAGTGCTCTGGTAATACCTGATGTGGTAAACGGTACTGTAGCAGCAGCCGCCGATGTAGCGCACGCCTTCCTTGTAGGCCTCGCGAGCGAAGGCCCTCGCCTCGAGCCGGTTCATGACGTGCGGCTCCATGGCTGCCGGACCGCGGGGGGTGGGCGGAAAGAGATCACAATAAACGGGGTCGTGTTGTGGCCTTTTGAGATAGGCTCGCTCCCGCAGGTGTCATTTGAGATAAGTAGAGGAGACTGGGGCAAAGCCCGAAAGCCCCAATAAACCATGTCAAGAGCGTAGAGACCGAAGCGAAGTGGCCACCCCGCGTTTTAGCCCGCCATACTAGCGTCAGCTCCAGCTTATGGTTGCCGATAACAGTTATCTTTGCGGCCGTTCGAATGAGTCATACCGGGGTTTCCAGCCCGTCGTCATTATTCCGTGACAAATGGATAGGCATTTTGCCCAGGTTATTCATCTTATTTTCCCAATATTCTTACGCTTTTTGAATGGTGGACCGTATCTTCGCGCCAGTTGGCGTGGGGGCGGGCGTTCTCACCGAGGGGCCAGCCGGGCAGGTGGTGTGCCTCCGTCCCGTCGTCGGGTGTCTTCAGACCGTTAGGCTGAACGATCAGCGGGCGGCTCAGGCCGGCCGATTCCAGAGCGAGCCGCATGCGCCGAATCGTGGCCAGAGCGTTACGTGGACCCACCGCGCAGTTCATACCAACTGTCCATGGAAGATGGTAAATACGTAGACATAACCGAAATCACGAGCTGCCAGCAAGCCTCAGACCGATATCGAGTATCTGATACCGGGCATAAACACCGTGCTACTACAGGTGATAGGGACAAGCTGAAAAGAAAAATGCGTATCAATGATAATGTTGTCAGTTATCTGGTTTCCAACTACCAGCTATCCGTGTATCCGCACGTCTGGCGACAATACGACACAATAACATGGTTTCCAACTACCAGCTATCCGTGTATCCGCACGTCTGGCGACAATACGACACAATAACAAAGAGGTTCGACTCAGTAGTTTGTCAGTGAGGTTGAGCATGCAGCAGGTAAAATTAAAGGTCAGCTCAAGGGCTCCTGATCGGCTACTAGTTCTATTGCTGCCTCATCAGACCTCCGCGCGTCACGCGGCAGCTGGTGAGACCCTCCGTCCTGGGATCGCGGGTCGGCGGGAGGCTCACCGACGTCGGCGCCTGCGCTGGCCATCCTCAGCGCGCACTGTTCGGGCGACACGCCGTTGCGGTCGCCGCGCGTGCCGATCGTCATACAGGCGACCACCGGCAGGCCGGTGCTGCGGCCGGCCGCAATCGCCAGCTCCATTTCACGGATGTCAAACAGCCACTGGGCGGCACACGAGGGGCGCGTCCCGGTGTGTCATACATCCGTGGCGGCGGTCTGACCTACGGTCAGTGGGCTATGGACGGTTCTACTGCATAGGTATAGTTCTCTGTACAACGGCATATGCCAAGTTTTTATCAATCACATCTAGGTATAAACAAAAATACCCTCCACATTAATAGGTACTGCTTGATGGGAAGAAAACAAAACGAAAATACTGCGGTACTCACCTCACAAACGATGAAGTCCACGCCTTCTTCCATGATGGGTTTCAGCTGTTGTTTGTAGTCGGCAATGACGTCATCGTCCGAGGCGCCGCTCTCGAACACGGGTGTGGCTGTCAGGGAGGCCGAGATGAGCTGGTCGCCCTCCTCCGCCACCTCCCGAGCCAGCCTGCCGACGGCCGACTGACCTCAGACTGATAGACTGATCTCGGACAGACGTAGGTACTGATGTCAGACAGACGAACTGATCTAAGGCAGACGGACTGACTGATGTCAGACTGATAGACTGATCTCAGACAGACGGACTGATCTCAGACTAATAGACTGCTGATGTCGGACAGACGGACTGATCTCAGACAGACGGACTGATGTTAAACTGATAGACTGATGTCAGACAGACGAACTGAGGTCGGACAGACGGACTGACATCATACAGACGAACTGCCGGCGGCGAACTGATCTCACAGACGGACTTCCGACGGCGGACTGGTGTCAGACAGACGCACTGGACTCAGGCAGACAAAACAGACAGACCAGACAGGCCAACAGACAGATGAGGATGCGATCCGATGCCTTTTGCGTGGGGGGAGATTCAACGTGAGTAGCATCTGATAGGTATCTCCATCCCGGATCTGGCAATGAAGGAATATACACAGGTACACATGCAGCTGTAGGTACCTGCACGCCGCGCGGTTGATCTCCTCCACGGTGCAGTCGAGGCCGCGCTCTTTCATCTTCTGGTCGTTGGAGTAGAAGTTGAGCGCCTGAAGCACGCCGGCGCCTGCCCTGGCAAACTCCCGGTGCAGCTCTCGCACTGCGACCCAGTACAGTGTTAGTGGTAGTGGTAGTCATACCGAGTAATCAAGTAACTTACAGTGTTAACGGTAGTCACACAGAGTAACCGAGTGGCGAGTAGTGTCCGCGGCGCTCACACCGAGTAACCAAGTACCTTTCAGTGTTAACGGTAGTCACACCGAATAACCCAGTACAGACAGCGGCAGTCGCCGGATTGTTGCCTAACGGACGGGGCCAGGTCACCGTGCAGTGGACCCACCTGCTGACGGGTGCTGGACACACACCTCGGGCGTCCATATGCCGGTAATCGCGTATCCTCGTCTGCACATTTCCGACATCATGCCTCCGTCGCCGATCACCACGCCATCCTGAAGACGCTCCAGAAGACCCTGATCGACGACGGTTTAAAAAGTGTAAAAAAAGTTCTGCCGCAAGCGTTGTCTCATTAACCCGCGCGCATGACAGGGATATTTTCCAAACACGGTTGACTGGGGAGAGGAGGGGGGAGGGCTCTACAGAACCCCTTTCTATGCTTATCTCAGGCAGCTTTTGCCAAATTGTCAGGGAACTCTTGTGTCAGGGAAAACTGTTGTGCCGATTGTCAGAATTTCTAAATCTACGGTGTAACATAACCCTTGAAAATTGTCTGACGAAACCTAATTTTATTGATCTCGAGGTCACCGGTGCCGTCACGGTCAAAGCAAAAATTATCAAAATTTCGGCTTTTTCACAGTTTGAGCTCTGGACGCCTGCAGTGCTTACCAGTCTCATCAAGCTCATTTTTGGTTTACACATTCCTAAATATAGGTATGCCTAAAATGCCCTGGGGGTACCAAACTTGTACTTCGAATTTTTCAGATCAAGGCTAAGTCAGCCTAGGTCACATAAACTTTATATCATGCATGGGTCACGTGACACATGTTTTATGGTCCATTTCGGCCATAAAACAATGACCCCAATAGGATGCGAATTAAAACATACTTACCTTTTTGGCGTTTGACGTTGAGCTCCCGGGCATCCTGCACCTTCTTGAAGAACACCTGGAAATTGGAATACCTAGTGGTAATGTAGTAAAAATTGAAAATAGTATTGGGTTTGATTGGATATTTTTTCTGATGTCAAATGATTAAAACTGATATAAATTTATTTCTATTAAAAAAGTTGATGACTAGAGGGACCTCACTTGATGAAATACACTAGCGAATTTAGACTCTCAGCCAGCCAGCACGCAAGGGGCGAAATTGGCGATAGTACGGAGACCTCGTGCCTCACCTTGCCAGTGACGGGCCCCCTGAGCGAAAAATAATCGCTTAAGTTTGAAAGAAGTTACTCGTTTAGTCCTAACGATTGTTTTTGACACCTTACTACCTTTTTTATAAATTATCGGGTGTGGCCGAAAACGTCCCTTCCCGCATCATGGCGAAGGTGACAGAGACTTCCACCCGGGCGGGAGCGGTGAGTAAGGAGGCATGCTCAGCAGCATGCGCATGTACCTCTAACCGCCCACTAAGGAAGATGTCAATATGGACTTAGGATAGGTAGGTGCTGCCGTGAAGTGATAGGTGAAAATGATTTTTACCCGCAGGCTTCACCCACCTTCCTTGCAGCGAAGCTGTCGACGTCGTGTGCCAGTGCTGTCTATGAGTCGGCCGTCGCGTTGTGCCTTCTGGGCTCATGGTCTCTCGCCCGTTCCGGACCACTGATCGGACACCCCGTGCGCATGCGCCTCACAAACGGCGGCCAGTTATAAATATACAACTCGGGTCTGAGGCCCCAGGCTATAGCGGCGATATTGCCAGGACGCTGCAGCCTGTTGTTTACAGTGATCTCTATTCTCTAGTCCATTATCCCGCACCGTGCTGAGCTGTACGACCCCCCCCCCCGTTATTTCGCAAGCGCCGCCGGTTTAACCTTCACCCCAGTGGGGGGGGGGGGTCATATGTTACCACCCTGTCGCGTTTTTTGTGTGTGAATAAAAAACGCGCCGCGCCGCTTGGAGTAGCTTTTTGTACAGTCCACAGCAGAAGTAATGTGGGGTTTCAGTCATGGGTATGTTCTGCTTCTGAAGCTTATGAACGATTAACCAGACTACAATGAAACTTTGAATGTAGCTTATATGTATCGTCACCCTTGCAGCTGCAACTTTAGCTATTGACATCTTCTTTTCGATCACTCCGCATTAAACAATCGCCAGTCAAAGCCAACCGTTGAGATTGGTAAAACCCTACATTACTTTAGCGTTGGGCTGTACATCAATTTTGGACAATGTGTGAAATTTTTAACCCCAGGTCATGTCAGGTCAGGTCACCAGATCAAGTTAACTGACCAAGCCTAAAACAGTTTGCAATCATGTCCAGCCTGCAGTGTTTGTCAGAAAGGTTTTAAACTTGGTGAATTGCATGATGTTATGGGCGCCTATAATTTGTATACCTATCTCGGATTTTTTATATCCGTGACCTAAGGTCAGGCCAGTTCCGTGACCTTACCATTATAAGTCAATAGAGAAAATGAAAATGCCTCTAGACCCGTGTGTACGCATAGGAACAGTCCAAATATTTCAGAATCACAATCATTTGGACCACCCGTGACGACCAATGTGTCTTTTTTTCCTGATAGCCTCTAGAAAGGTCATCCGAGGTCATTTGAGGCTACAAACATATTTTTACCAATAACTCTCGATTGGAAAGAGATAGGACGCTGGGGATGACCTTATTGTGTTTGTCTTCTTGGGACGCATCGAATGATATGCAACATGACCTTTTCCGATCAGGTCATGACCTTGACCTGAGGTCAAATTTTCAAGTTGACCTTTCAAGGTCAAATTATAGTTCATTCGACGCGTCTCGGCGAGAGGAACACGATTATGGCAATAGAAATGTCTTGGCTCTTTTAAGTCAAAAGTTATTGTCGAAAAACACTTCGTAAAAACAGCTATTTTTGGAGTTTTTGCCCTCTGGAGGCTAAACCGTTGACCTGAGGTCAATTCTGATGATAATCTTATCAAAAGAAGAGTTCAAAAGCTATCGATTGCTTTTCCATGTGTTTTTCTAGCTATCATAGTTCCCGAGATAAATGCATGTTTTCTGAAAATTATAATGACATTGGCAAATTTTGACCTTTGATGACCTCCAGTGACCCCAATATTGCTCTAAGATGAAAAATGACGGGAATACTTTCAAACGTACGCATTGAGAGCTATCGACTTCATTTACCGCGTCTTTCTAGCCCTCTTAGTTTTTGAGTTAGAGGTGGGTGGTAACATATGCTCCCCCCCCCCCCCACTAGGGCGAAGTTGGCTGAGACCACCACTGGGGCGCGGGTTAAGATTGAGTATCATCGGCTTCCTCTCATGACGGGCAGCACGCTCGTTTTTCTGCGAAGCTCTAGCTCGATCAGGGGCCAAACGCGAGGGGGGGGTCGGGTACCACCCCACCCCCCTTGTGCCGTCGAAGGACGCAAAATGGCCTATGCCGGCGAGGGTTAACCCTCGGGCCCGACCGGGTTAGTGACCTTCTGAATGACCTGCATACGTAACAATAATGACAAGTTGCTTCAAGCAAAAACACCTCTCTCAAATGAAGATACTTGACAATTTTGCGCATCGCGCAAACTGTACATACCTGCTCCAGTTTATTGACAAGTCTCTCATTAATAAATATTCACTTTACACAAGCACCAAACATTCAGCGGATTACACAAGTCAATTGAAGAGTGCTAAGTTCTGAGAGGGTGGCAGAGTGTACACTGTATCACGCTTGGTACCGATAGGGTGGGTGTATCACGCTCAGTACTGAGAGAGTGGCAGGGTGTATCACACAGACGGGAAGAGACGTACGTAGTACGCACGACAGCGCGACGGCATCGGAAGGGACCGCGCCTTCAGCACGGGTCCAGGGTCTAATAGTTGGTATGAACCATCGGGCACCGACGCCATCTCTCAGGCTTCGGATCCGCAACAAGGCTGGCAGCTTTCGTCCGTTTTGAAGCACACTGACATGCAATGTAAAGGCTAACTATCACTATCTGCCAGGTGAACCATCGTCAATGCTAAAAGTAAAGAAGCTTCATTCCCGGTGCAACAATAAAATGCAGGTTCTAGTACTACTCATAAGGTGCACCTTAGCTCAGCTCTGTCTAAGCGCATCTCAGTCAATGCCACAGTCCTTTATTGTTATCACTCGGTAGTCGGCAGCCTTCATGCTACGACCACTACACTGGTCCCTGGCGTTTGATATTCTCGTCACATTCACGCTACCCGTCGGTCGGCAGCACCTACCCACGAATCGTCACACGAGGCCACCTCAAGTGGTGACACCCCCGTACGGAGTGTCTGAATACGCCGCTGCGTAGCGCTGGTTGAACGACTTCCTTAGGGAGCCCCAGAAACCGGTGGTCTTCGTCCGGTATGCGTTGGCGTAGTTGTTGACGTTGATGCGGCTGGGATCGAGGGGGCTGCTGCTGCGCTCACTGTCCGCAGCCGGACACGGGCCGAGTGCGCGCTCGTCACGACGTTGACGCCACCTGCAGAACGCCATCAGCCCTACGAAGATGAGGAGGGCGCAGCCGCCGACCGCGCCGCTGGCGATCACGGCGTGCCGCACGGCCGGACTGATGCCGCCGCTCGGCGGAGACAGCTCGATGTCGAAGACAGTCGAGTCCACCTGGTGCTGGCCCTCTCCGCCACCACCGCCGGCCGCCGCCCACATGGCCTCTGTCTCCTGGTTGATCCGCTCGAAGAGCTCGTCGTGCGGCAGCACGGTGGGCAGTGCTGGCTGAGGTTTGTGGTCGGATAGTGGTGGTGTGTCCAGCCGACGCGGAGGGTCGCCGATTGGCGCCGGTGGCAGTAGGGTGACCGGGCGGCCGTAGATGGCCGGTGCCGGCGAGAGAAGTCGGATGCCCGGCTGAGTGTCGCGCTGTTGGTCATCGTCATCCTCTCCCAGTGGCACAGACAGTGTCATCGGCTCATCCGGGTCTCCTTGGGCGCCAGGAAACGATGTGGATGTGGTCGGTGTATATGAAGAGGTGGCAGGAACTGCTGTGGTGGTGCGTAGCGACGCACGCCAGCCTACGCCATTGTATTCTTCGAGAATGGCGGTCACGTTACCCCCGCCAGAGATAAACTGTTTGAGCGTCTGCTTTCTTATGCCAAGGATCTCCTTAAGGCTATAAATTTTGCCACTGACATCGGCTTGTGGTTTGATTGTAGACAGTTCTTCGATGGCATCGTCTTCAGTGTCAGGAGAGGGCGTTGCAGAATTATATTCCAGAAGCAACTGCTTGACGTCACCGCCCCTTGCCAGAAACTCGGGCAGCGAGACCTGCTTCTGTTCGAGAATCTCCGCCAGACTCCACTGCTTCGGCCGCCGAGGGGCCGACTCTGTCCCAGGGTTGACAGCGTTTTCCAGTGGACTTCGGTCAGAAGGCAGCTGTTTCTCACCACCCGACGAGACTCCGGCTTCCTTGTGATGTTTCTCGTCTGGCTGGTATTCGTACGGGAGCTGTGCACTAGACTGAGCTCCAGAAGGGCGCCGAACCTGGGGGTCTACTTGGTCTGTCCGTGCGGTCGTCGGGGTCGGCGCAAGCGTCTCATCCGTCACCGGGATAGGACGGCCCTCTCGTCTGGCACGCAGTCGATCTATAATCGCCATCACGTCTGCCATTGTGTAGTCGCTTCTCAGAAAGGCGGCCAGGCTCTGACCGGACTCTACGAGCATTTCTGCCAGACTGAACGGCTGGATTGCTGACCGCACCTCGTCCAGTGATGGGGACGCGGTGGCTGCTGCGCCTGCGTCGGTGCTTGGGTTGGGTACCACCTCGAAAGAGGAACTAGTGGTCGCCTGCGTGGAAGAGGAAACTGGCCTAGTGATGCGCTGTGTGGAAGTGAAGGGTGAACTTTCCTGGCTGGTTCTAGTCTCGTCGGTCGGTGGAGACGAAGGCTTTGTCACAGCGGACTGAGTACTGGTGACTGGAGCCCCATTCCCGAAGCGGTAGAACTTTGAGAAGGTTGGTCGTGACTGCAGACGTGGGATGGGTTTTCTAGTGCTTTTCTTTGGTTCCCGGTCGAAGTCCGTGGGCATTGTAGAAGACTCATCAAGCTGGTCATTGCTGTGTTCCTCAGAGGAATGAGTTGAAACTGAGCTTGCTCCTTCCGTAACAATGTTGTCACGGTATGTGTATGGAGCAGCATTTTGTTTTGTTGTTAGGATGGTTGGCGCTGACGTTGTCGCATGCTCAACAGGTGTTGCTAGATCCTGGCTCATAGCGGTGGACAATCCGTCGACCAGCTCCGATATTGAATCCTCAGTTGACCGTACTGTAGGGACCTGTACTTCTGGCTCTGTAGTTGAGACAATGTTGGGAAGCGTTGTCTGAGTATCATCATATTTTGTCATTCCCACCAGGTCATTGTACGCGGTTTCTGTTGCAATAGTTGAGAACTGCTGATCAACGTTGGCCTGGTTCATATCATCCACGTCCTGTTGATCGTTAGGGGCTGCGGTTGATGTCACCGAAGTCTGTTGATAACTGTCTGGCATCAACTCTCTAACCATACCGCCCTTGTGATGAGGGGCATCGATGTCGTCTGTCATTCCAAGCTGATCGTCAGAATACGCAACTGCTTCTGTCATGTCAATCTGTTCATTGGAAGTGTCTGCGTGCCCATGA